CCCTGGCCTCCCAGGTCAGCTCATGATGTGGAAAGCCAATGGTCCCAACACCAACCATGGCCAGAGAGCTGGAGGGGTCCTAACAAATGGCCAGCTGTGTTGGCCCAGAGTAGAAATGAGAGGCTGTGATGCTGGATCAGCACTGAGCAGGGGGTTTGCAACATGAACCCAGGAAGGTCATCAAACTGTACTTGCTAACACCAAAGCCTCTCAGCCCCTCTTTGGAAACACTCTGAGAAAACTGCTTGGTGTCCATGGCTGCTTGGTGTCTGTGGCACCCTCTCTCACTGCTTCCGCTTCTTGGGCTAGTCCTCCACGACCGCCATCATGGACTCGTTCCCTTCACCCGCCCCTTGGATGTGCCTGTTCCCCAGGCCTTGGCACCATCCCCTCCATCTGCTCTCCTGGGCAAGCTCCTCTACTCTGGAGGCTCTGGCTGTGCTTATGCATCCCAGGCTTTCTCCCCTGCCCAGAGCTCCAGAACCCTGGACCCATCTGCCTCCTAAGCCTGTAACTAGAGAACCCACAGGCACCCCAGACTCAAGATAGCCACCCTAAGCCTACCACCCAACACCCTGACCCATCCCATATTCTCTGCCTCTGAGAGTGGCGTCACCAGCCACCCCAGCTCCTGAGTTAGAATTAGGAGTCATCCAATGCACAGTCATCCTCAACACCTCCCTCTCACCCCCACGTGGAATTGGTCATCAACTCCTATGGATTGCATCTTCAGAAAGGATGCTCATTCCCACAGCTGCTCCCTGAGAGGCTTCTGACTCCCTAACTTAACCCCTAGTCCATCCCCTACACCAGGTGTCCTCAAACTATGGCCTGCGGGCCACATGCAGCCCACCTAGGACATTTATCCGGCCCACCGGGTGTTTTTGCCGCCACTACCTGTCCTGCTTAGCAGCTGACTCATCCCGGGGCCTGCAGTCTGGCCCTCCAATGGTTCTGAGGGACAGTGAACTGGCCCCCTGTTTAAAAAGTTTAAGGACCCCTGCTCTACACCCTCCATCACCAAAGAGGGTGGTGAGAGGGTGTAGAGCAGGGGTCTAATACGTTTGGGTTTGGCCCACCTCTGCTGAGAGTCTTTCCATGGCTCCCTATTGCCCTCAGATAAAATGCTGGTGCTTTCATATAGCCTGCAAGGTCCTGCCTGACCCAGCCCCACCTCCATTTCTTGCCACATTTCCAGCATGTCCAGCATTGCCTCTACCCTGAGACAAGCTATGCTGTCCAGCTAATGCTTTTCCCTCTACCCAGCAAGCTTTGCCTGCCCTCGCCTATCAAAATCCTCTATTTTCTTCCTGGCCCACCTCCTCTGAGAGGTCTTCCTTCCTTGCTCATTCAATAAATTGGAACCCCCTGCCCCTCCCCAGTTGCCATGGCATTTTGCTTGTCTCTCTGGAATCCATCTGCTTTCACGGACTCCTCCCTAGACTTTGAGCTTCTCAAGGGCATGGGCTGGTCTAGTCCTTTTCTGTGCTCCCAGCCTGGGTATATGGAGTTGGTGGCCATAAACATCTGCTCACTTGAGGGCAGATTAAATTGAAATGACAGAGAAAGCCTAGAATACCAATGCTGTCCCCAAACCTCTGCTCCTGATCCCTCAGCCACCTCCCTGGGAGCCATCCCACTGCCTGGGTCTCCCCTCAGCACAGCAGGGAGCCCAGGGGAGCCTGGGGGTGCCAAGAGGGGAGGTCTTGGTTTCCAACAGCCCAGCACTCACTAGGGAGTGGGCACAGTGGCCTGTGGCCCTGGGCTGTGGGCCTCCACGGTGGTGGTGAGCAGCCTCTCTGATTTTAATGTGGGCCTCAGTGCTTCAGTGAAAGCCGGCATGGGAAGTTGCTAATAATGGCACTAAAATAAAATATGCTACATCTGTTATGGGTAGCAGAACAAAATTAGCTGCTCACACCTCTGACATCCAAGATGTCTTAACTTAAAATACTCCTTGGCTTACTTTACATCATTTACTGATTATATTTAAAAGAAATACAATTTTGCAATTACTGTTCTTTCCAGCGTGATATCTATGCATCATTTTCCTTTTATGTTTATATATTTCTCCTTCATTAGTGCAGTCTGAAGGGTGATTAGGATTCTTCAAACATTTTACAGAGGTTAAACGTTGATTAAGATTTAATTATTACTGTAAATAGCTTGGAATGACATATGGTGCAAAAGCCTGACATATGTGCATTTGAATAAATGAAGTGCTATTTCCCAGGATGCCTCAGTAGCTGTTTAACAGCTTTCCCGAAGGGTTATGTTACACCTCATGGTAAGATTGCTGGGATGTTATATTTTGTTGGTTTTTGCAGCTGAAAGCTAAGAACAGTTTTCCAGTTTTTTAAAAACATTGAATATTTTAAATACCTAAATTGTTTTGCACAAATTTTTGCTAATTTGTCTAACTAGGTTAAACATTTTCAAAAGCATTTAGATTTTTAAGCGTGGGCGCTGTGCATTGTGTCAGTGGCAGCGTGGGGACGAGGGGATCCAGCAGGGTGGAGGGGACTCGGGGGTGGTAGGGGTGGGGAGAGAGAAGGTGGTTTGAAGAAAGGGGGTGGGGAGGAGGCCTGGGCCCTGAGCCTAGCTCTCCTCGGTTTGGCCATCTCAAGTGGCCAGAACCCAGGTAGTGGGGTACCAGGCACTATAGGGGAAGGATCCCCTCTTCTCAAGGACTCCCACCATGCCCACCAGCTCCAGTCCTCTCTAAACTGCCTCTTGTCTGGACTCTGCCATACACAGCCTGGGCCCTACTGAGCTCTCTGAAGACCAGGCTAGTCTATGCCACCTTCTGCCCACTTCCTAGGGTTGCCATGTCTGGACAAACGTCAGGTGCCTAGGACCAAGTTCAGCCAAGCTAAATTACAAAGGCCTGGCACCTGGTGACTCTACCCAGGGTGGATGTCAAGCCAGGGCCTTCTTACTGAGGGAGTGCCTCCCCCTCTGGCCCCCTCAGGCTGTCGGCTCAGAAAGCCCCCCAGCGCAGCCCCTGGAGATGAAGCTCCTGTGGTGTCTCCAAGGAACCCTGTCCTCCCAAGTGCCTGCTGCCTCTATTCTTTCCACCCATTTATTGAACACTCAGGGACCGCCTACTGTGTACTAGCACTACTAGCATTGCTAGAATTTGAGGACTCTGGGTAAGAAGATGGCACATTCACTACCTCAGGGAGCTTGTGATCCAACATGGAGGGGTGGGAGGTGTCATTCAGATGGAAGTACAGGGAGCGGCGCCCAGCCTGGGTGAGCGAGGGTCTAAAGCTGAGACAGAAAAGACTGAACTACAGATTGGGGAGGGGGGCAGGGGCAGGAGTAGAAGTGGGAGGGGCACATCTCTGGCAGAGGGGACAGCTCAGGAAAGACTTGAGGGGAGCCCAGTGCACAACAGGAAGATGGCTCAGGAGTCTGACTTGATCTCCAGGGGTGGTAAAGCATGGAGCCATTTTTTATGTGAAGAGAGGTGTGACCGGACTTACAGTTTAGAAGGCTACCACTGCCTAGAGGGGGGAAGGACCAGAGTGAATGAGACCTTGTTGGGAGGTGGGGAGAGGAAGAGGAGCTAGAGAGGCTCCTTGGTCTCTGGCCACAGCACCATGGGATGATAGTGTCTTCCCCAAGATAGGGAGGTGGGCTGGGGCCAGAGGAGATGGCAGATTCAGTTCCACTTTAGACGGGTTGAGGGCAAGGCCTATGGGACATTGTAGAAAGCTGGTAGGTAGGTGGCTGTGGGCCTGAGACTCAGGGGAGAACTGTGGCTGGATACACCTCTGGTCACCCTGGAGCATGTGCAGAAAAGGGGCCTAGCCAGGTCATGCCTCAAGGACCCTGAGAAGCATCCAGTGGATATTGGAAAATGGGTAGGGGGTGGCAGTGACCTTGGAGAGAAAGATTTTTGTGGGGTGTGGTTAAGAACAGAAGCCAGATTGGTGGTGGGTTGAAAAGTCAGTAGGAGGTAAGGAGGTAGACACAGTCAGTGTAGACAGTTCTTTAAAGAAACGTGGTTGTTGGGGAGGAGAGAGACCAGGCAGTAGCTGGAGCGTGACTTGGGGTGAAGGGGAGTTGTCGTGAGAGGAAAGGTTCTTGTTGGGCAGGAATCAATAGCTACAAAGTGGGAGAGAGGGAGAACAATTCAGCAGGGGCCAGGTGGGCAGGGGAAGTGGAACCATGTAGGGATCTGCCTTGCCAGGGGAGGGCCGGCTGCCATGGGGTAGCAGGAGGGCAGGGGTAGGGCCATGTGTGAACACAGGGAGTGGGTCCAATGGTGGGAAACTAAGGGGTTCCTCTCTGGTGCCCTCAGTGTCTTTCCCTGAGGAAGGTTCCCCTGCCCAGGACATGTAGGGAGTCGAGCAGGATGGCTTAGGTGGCTTGTGTGGAACATGGTCAGTGAGGTTGCCCAAGCAATGGGGCAGAGCAGAGTGAGGATCTAGCAAAGTCAAGGATGAATTTTGAGTGGCCCCCATTAGGTGTTCAGGTTTAAGTGTCGAGAGGGTGGATGCATAATTGGGCTTCTGCCAGTCAGGGCTGGGCTAGGGGGTAGGTGAAGTGATGGTCCCATGTGTCTGAATAGGAGGGAGAAGATGTGAAGACTAACAGGTAGAGAGCCTGGACCTGAAGTCTCAGTGGTCTATAAACAGGAGGAGGAATGAGGGATAGAGACTGGGGGTCCAAGAGAGTCAGGTTTGGACTTACAGAGTCTAGGTAGAACAGCCTAGGTGGTGGCAGGTTCAGGGTAAGTCCCAGGTTGGGGAAGAGCTACAGTGTGGCACACAAGGTCCTTGGAGATGGGGGCAGTGCAGAACTCAGAGGCCAGGGTACAGTACACTCATCCACACTGGTACACTGTCAGAAGGAGGAAGCCAGGCCTGAGCTGGAAAGGGTGCTGTGAGCTCTGTGGTGGGAGAGTGGTAGAGGTCTTGGCTGCTACTCCCTGATTCCCCATTGGACTTTCCCATTGCCCTACCTCTCCTCTCTCTGTTCTCTCTTCCCAGATTGAAACATCCCAGTTGGAGCCTGAGATTGCTCAGGCCACGAGCAGCCGGACAGTGGTGTACAACAAGGGGCTGTGAGTCGTGGCTGGCTGGCCTGGGGACAGAGCACTGTTCCGGCTGGGGAGTTAGGAGCAGGGAAGGGCTGCATCTGCAGGGAGGGGCTGGCTGACCCCAGCAGTCCTGGGCCACCTGCAGTGGTAGGGAGACTAATCCATTTACATGTTAACATAGGGAATTCTAACACATTTTCTACAGAAAATAATCAAGTGCATTACTGGGCCTTATGTGGAATTGTCAAAACTCCACACAGCACAATTATGTATGAAGCTAAAATGTTGTAGAGTGCTCATGGGGTAGAATTAAGATCCTTTTATACTTTTTTTTTTTAGCTTTTATTTTTTATCAGAATCAAGTCTGAGCCTTGGTCATAGCTGACCAGAAGTGGCAGTGAATAGGGGGTAGGAACCAGAGTAGGCCAAGAAGTTGGGTTGGTTTGGTGGCCAGGCTGGTAGATTTAGGTTATTACAGTGGCTCCCAGGGCTGGAGTGGGGGAAGGACAGGACATGGTCTGCACACCACAGGATGAACTAGCCATGACTAAGATCCTCAGGAAGTGGCCCAGGGAACCCAAGAGCACTGGATGCTCTGGAAGATTCCATGGGCAGCTGGCCCTGAGCATAGCCAGCACTCATCCATGCCATAGCTGCAAAACCAGTTCCTGTGAGTGAAGCCCAGTGACACTGGGGCTGTGGTCACCGTTTGTTAAGACCTGACTGATTCAAGGCCCCTAGATGACCTCAGGTCCAGGAAGGACTCCCAAGAAGGAATGATGCTTGGCAGGAACTATGGGCCTGTACTTGGCCTCTGAGAGAAGCTCCTTTTTCCAGGCCGCAGGCTGGAGTTTTGGGGGCTGAGGGTGGGGCTGGAGCTGAGCTGAGTGCTGTCTGGGGAACCTCTCCAGCCACCAAGGCTGCCTGCCCCATCCCACCCTTTCTTGAGTAGAGGCTGTCCCATGCCAGTGAGTACCAGGGCCAGATCAAAGGGGAAGCATCAACCCAGGGACAGTTGGCTCTGGCTCTGGCACTAATGGGCTATGTGACCTTGGACAAGTTCATTCTCTTCTCTGAGCCTCCAGAATGAGAGGATTGGATCAAGGGGTTCCTATTGACTCTTCCAGCTAGACCTCATCTTTGCCTGCCCTGCTCAGATGCTGGTCACCCTAGGCACATCCCCCATGTGCATACTGGACTGGGAAAGGGGAAGATCCCTTTGGGAATGGCCAGCAGTTCTCCTGAGAACCTGGATCTTGTCTTTCTTTATGTGAGCCCATATCCCGGGAGTACTTGACCTTTGCCCTTACATATCCTTGGAAGTGGCATGGATGTCTGGGCCTGATGTATGGCCACATTGCTTGCCACCTCTCATTCCTTGCTGCTCCTATCACCCTTCTATTTGTGAGCAGAAAGGAGGAGAGAGCTGTAAGAGGGCAGCAGGGTCTAGGGTTGGGGTAAGCAGGCAAGCCCCTGTCTGAGAGATCCAAACAAAGAGGAAGCACCAGCCTCAGTGCACCCCTCACCTGACCCCAATTAGAATAGCAGCCCTTGGCATGCAGCCAGCTCCTGGACACCTCCCCCTGGAGATTCCATTTCGTGAAAGATAGAGATGATGACTTGTAAGAAAAGACTAGTGCAAGGCATAGCCACAGGTGGCCACCCAGCATCTTAGGGCAGGGGTGGTATGTGAGGTGGGTCTTCTGTGGACACTTATACCCTGCACCCTTGCTGCCCTGGTGCCCACCAGCTGGCTCTGTAGGACACTGTCCTGAAAGGGCCTACTGTGCCAATGAGGAGCAGCCCGCCCACACCTATCAGGAGGGAAGAGGGCATATTCAGCACGAAGGGCAAAAAAGCAGGGGGAGAAGTTGCCACCATGTTGGAGGCGCAGGTTATTTTGAGCCAATCCCACTATAATGTGAATGTGCTAGTGACTGCTGGGCTTTGTTGGTCTCTAGGCCTGGGCGTGACTAGACCCTCTTGTAAAGCTCACTTCAAGCCCACCCTACCCTTACATGTCATAAGACCCTTATTGTGCACTTTATCTTGGGACCAAAACTGCCTAGCCTGCCCCCACCCCCTTCCAGAAGCCTGACAGGGACAGGCCTTCCCAGACCCCACTCTGTGCTGGCTGCATGTCCCGGTCCCTCCCCTAGCCCTCCCCAATGGCCTCAGCATCTCATAACCTATTTGATTTGTCCCCTGGATGATTTCCATTATGCTCTCAAATGCAATTTCAGGTGAGCCAAGGGGACTGCTCCTGTGGGGGATATTCTTATAGCTCAGGGTGATGGTAACAGAGGAAAACAATGGGTCATGCTGCTAAGCCCTGGAAAACCCCTAGGGGAAACTTTTGGTCAATATCCATGTCCTACTCTGCTGAGGCCAGAGGAAAGGTCTGATGGGCAGGCTGGTTCTTGACTGGGGCAGAAGTGGGGCCTGGACCCATAGTCAGGGTGGGGCTGACCCAGCCGATTACAGTGTACACCTGCAAAGGCTCTCCAGCCCTGGAGTCCCTGCCTGACCCTCCTGGGGCACTTCAAACATTCCCTTCAGCTCGGGGATGCTCTTCTCCCAGTTCCAGACTGCAATCTGAGGGTGTGGGGTCCAGAAGCTCAAGATATCCCACTGGTTGCCTAGCCAAGCTGGCTGGTAGACCCCTTGCATGTTTTGACTGCAAGCCAGCTGGGCCTCTGGCCTGGGAGAAGAGAACAGGTCCTGAGGAGGAGAAAGGTCAGTGGACAGATTCAAAGTGGTCTTCCAGCCTCGGGCCAGCGTAAGGCCCTAACACACACCTCGGCCACTCCCAGGGGACTTTGTAGCATCTTTTTAACCTTCTCAGAAAATGTCTCAATATGTGATTTGCGTAATACTAATGATCTGTGGACAATAAATGATGGTTTAAAGCATCAGGGTGTGGCTTTGTGAGTTGTTGGGGGGAACAGTGGGTACAGAAAACATAGTGGGGAAGGGAAGGGCCTCCTGCCTGAGGACTTTGTAGGATAGCCCCAAGGAAGGTACAGACCCAGGTTCCAGGCCAGGCCTGCTGGGAGGCTTAGAGGGCAAGGGAAAGGCAAGGATGAAGACCACATGAGGGCAGAGGGGGTGAAGCATTGCAGAAAGACCCTGTGAGAGCTGTTGCCCAGTGCTTACTTAGATACCCACCTCAAGGAATTTGAGTAAATGGGCAATGTTGGTGGATTCCCAAGCTGTTTATATTCACAGGCCTGGGGGGACATTCCTGAACTTCCCTGGGACAGGAGAGGCTTCCTAGGAGGTTTGAGTCCTAGATTTGAGTCAGAGTAGAAAGGTTACTACTATCTGCAGTGTGCGTGGTACCAGCCCTGGGAACTCTGGCCCTTCCTAACTCCTCCACTGTCCCTTAAGGCCAGAACTTGGCCACCTCCTGAAAGCTCTGGCTCCTCTTCTAGTCTGCCAGACTTCCTGACTCCACCTCTGCAGAGAGGTATGGGGGCAGCAGGTGGAAAGCCAGCTTGGCCCAGCACAATTCTGTGAATCTTAGCCAGCCAGTCACTTCCTTCATTCATCCGTTCGGCCAGGCCAGAGTCAGATGTTCACCAAGCCCCTTCTCTGTGTTGCACACTGCTCTAACTGAGCCTATTGTCCCTATCTGTAAAATGCCAAGAACAGCATGCCACTGGACTGTTGGAAGGATGGAGAAACCAGGTGAGGAATGCACCCTGACTCAACCTTCCCAGGTGTGTGTAAAAGGCTGCCTCTCCTCCTGGGCACTGGGCCTCCCTAGAAGAGTGGGACAAGAGAAAGGGAGGGGGAGGGGGTCTGTTCTCAACACGATACCTCTGGGTCAGGGGGCTTCTGGTCCCTGGGAATTTCTCTGCTAAGAGCCCCACAGGCCATAGCCCCCATCCGGGCGGAAATCCTTGACTCTCAGGACAGACACAAATCCCTCCTGGGAGCTGTTTGTTGTTTTTAGCTGGTTTGGGAGCTCAGCTCCTGCCCAGCCCAGAGATCATTAACACTCCAGGAATGTGGCCTCCCCTGCCCCCATCCTCACCTGTCTGGCCTATGGGGGCTACCCTCTCCCACCCAGGCAATGGTTAGTCTGAGCAGCAGAATGCTAGGGGATGAAGACAGTGATGAGTGACCCTTTCCCAACACCCTGGGGACCTGGCCTCATTTTCCAAATGGAGCCTCCCTCAGTCCCCTATAGCTGCTGCTGTTCCTGCCGTCTCACCCATCCCCCTGCCTCTGGTTAGCTCCCCTGAACAGGAATGCCTCAGCCCTTTCCCCAGGGCCTAACCCCCACATGCCCACCCTCCCTGCAATACCAGGTGTCTCTCAGGGGAGTGCCCAAAAGTGTTCATTCTCCCCCCAACTGAGGCTGCTGCTGGCAGCTTATCTAAAGCCAGAGCCTGCCTCCTTTCCAACAAGGACACCTCCTCTGCCACAGCTAGAATCTGAGGCCCGGCCTATTCCAGTTCCCTGGGCTTCATGGAAAGTGGAAAGAGGGAAAGAGAATAAAAAAGGGACAGAGAAGGTGGACAAATGGACAGATAGGCAGGCACCTGCCCCCTCCTGGAGCCCCCAGGCAAATCCTGAGGAAGTGAGGAAAGGAAGCTGCCCCAGGCTCTTAATGTGTAAGCACGGCAGAGGGAAGGACAGTACAACAAAGGCCCTGACTCCCTCTCTGGGTGAACAGCAAGAAGCTCAGTGTTGTCAGAGAATAAAGAGCAGGATTGGAGAGGCAGTGTGGCCAGCGGCTGCAGGGCCAAAGCCAGCTGTGGACCACTGGAAGCCATGGTTACATCTGGAAGGTGGAGTAGATCCCATGAGACTGCTGGGGAGACCAGTCAGGGAAGATGGGGCCTGGGTCAGTGTGGTGGGGATGAGGATAGAGAAGTGAAGAGATTCAGGACTGATCAGTCCTCTGAGAGTCAGTCTGGGAGGCGGGCAGAGAGAAGTCAAAGAGGACCCTAGTTCCCTGGCTTGGGTAGCTGACAAGATGTTGGTGCCATTGCTCTGAGCTAAGGAACAGAGAAGGAAGAATAAGCCTGCAGGGAAAGCTGAGGCACGCTGGTGTTTAAGTTATTAGAGGTTCCTGTAAGATAACCAAGTCGAGATGTCAGGAGACAATTAAGTGCACAGGAAGGGACTGGAGATGCAGATTTGCATGCTGTCCCTTCAGAGAGAGCACTGTGGAGCTGAAGGATATCACCACGCAGAGTAGGTACGGTGAGAAGAGAAAGACGTGGGACAGAGCCCTAAGGAGCTTCCACCTCTGAGGCCTGAGCAGAGACAGGGAGCCCCAAGGACCCTGAGCCACAAAGGGAGGTGTTAGGGGCTGAACACACTCACCCCAAATTCATATGTTGCAGCCCCAGTGCTCAAGGCCTCAGAATGTGCCTGTATTTGGAGATAGGTCTATCAAAAGGCAATTAAGTTAAAATGAGAGGTTTTTGTTTGTTTGTTTTTTAAAAGACATAATCTCACTTTGTCACCCTCAGTAGAGTGCCCTGGCATCTCTCAGCAACCTCCAGCTCTTGGGCTTAGGCAATTCTCTTGCTTCAGCCTCCCGAGTAGCTGGGACTATAGGTGCCTGCCACAACACCCGGCTATTTTTGTTGTTGTTGCAGTTTGGCCAGGGCCGGGTTTGAACCCTCGGTATATGAGGCTGGCGCCCTACTCACTGAGCCATAGGCACTCCCCCAAAATGAGGTTGTTAAGGTAGATTCTAAGCCAATGTGACTGGTGTCCTTATAAGAAGTGGAGATTAAGACATAGGCGTGCTACAGGGAGAAGGCCATGAGAACATGAAGTCACCATCCCCAAGCCAAAGTGAGAGGAATCAGAAGAAACCTCTGATCACAGGCTCTGGAATTGTGAGAAGATAAGATTCTGGTATCTAAGCCACTCTCTCTGGCGTACTTTAGTATGGCAGCCCTAGCACACTGATACAAGGTGAGGGGAAGTTGAGGAAAGTGCAGAGATGAGAGGCTTCATGTAGAAGGAGATGCCATTACATCAGTAGGCTGAGAGTGGAGGAAGATGAAGATCACGGTGGGTCACTTAGGGGACCTAGAGAACAGCCTCAATGGAGTGTGGTCAGGACAAAAGCCAGATCTCCATGGGCTGAGAAGGCAGTAGGACTCCCATTGACAGCCAACACAGATAATTCTTTGATGAGGTTTGGCTGTGACATGGTCAGAGAAACAGCAATGGTGCAAAATGGCATGGAGCTGAGGGAGGGCATAAGAGGGAGACTCTTGGATAAGAGTCAGAAGAGATCATGACATAAGGGGAAGAACTACCCAGAACTGAGACCCTAGGAGAGCAGGTAGAATCTGGCACCCATGTCAAAGGTTGGGGTGGGATAGGGATAGGGTACCCTTGGTAAGAAGGAGAGAAAGTGGCGGGTGGTAGCAGGAAGCAGGAGGAGGGGAAGGGCTAGATGCAGTCAGTGTGGGGTCAACAGTGGGGATTGAGGGTAGAAGTCTAGACTGAAGCTAGTTCCCCTCCCTCCATCTGCCCTGCACCCTTCTCCACCTGCTCTCTGTCCCTGGAGGCTGACTCATATAGACTCAACTGTCAGGCTTTTGCCTTTGGGAGTCATCAGCAGGAAACTGGAGGACTGAAGGAGAGTGATGCCGGGAGATTTATCCCTCCCGGTTCCTCCTGCCTTCCATGGGCCTCTCTCTACTGAAGGCTGCAGCTCCTGCCCGGGGCCCTCTCCAGCCAGCTGTCTTCTCCAGGTTCTGGTAACGTCTTCAGACTCTTGCCTCTTCAGGTCACAAGGCCACACAAGCTCTCCATTATTACTGGCCCTGGGGTTCTATAATATCCCTTTGTGGTGTGACTTTCCCAAAATTTATTCATTGTTCCTGCCTTAAACTCTTGTTGAAGTGCCCTGTCTGAAGGTACCATTTGACTGATGCAAGGTATGGATGGGGGTGAGCTCTCAGCTGAGGCTGGGACCCCATATATCAAGGGGTGCCATCCTACACATTTGCTTGATGTCCTCACAGACTCAATTGCAAGGGCAGGTGGAGAAGCAGGGTCAAGCAGGCTTGAGATTTTGCCAGGTAGGTGCAACCATGGACTAGTGCAGCATTTTTCAACCTTTTTCATCTCTCGCCACACTTGAACCTATAGTTAAATTGCTGAGGCACACTTAAATTATGTTGATCAAAAAAAAAGTAAAGACAAGAATATACTTACTGTGCTTTGAACTTATATAGAAAAGAATTTAATTAATGATCTGTAAAAATTTTCTCAGCACACCTAAGATCCTCACATGGCACACCAGTTGAAAATCACTGGACTGGTGAAACAGGGCATGTTGGACAGAAAGCAGAGGGGCTGCAGCCAGGAGGGCCCCAAGAGGTCCCTCAAAAATGTGGAGGGAAAGGCAAGCGAGTAGGAAGAACTTGTGATCTGACAGCAAAGGATGGCTGAATGTGTAGTGGAGAGAGGGCCCAATTCTGGGCTCTGAAAAACCCTGAGAGAGGGTGGGAGGAGAGGAGGGGAAGAGAAGTTGGGGTGCTGGATGAGTTGGCCATGTAGACCCTGAGGTCTAGGGGGGCAGGAAGATCACAAGTTGGTAGCCACAGTGTTTGACAAAGGAGGGGGTGTGTCTGATGTGCAGCCCCCACTGCACACGTGCACAACACACACATGCACAGCCGTACGCCCACACACACCCACACAGTCACACTCGCGCACAGCCCACAGCCCTCCCAGACACTCCAAACACCCTCACACGCACTCACCCTCACACACCCCCCAGACAGCAGATGGGGCGCTCGGGTAATTGGTTAAACCTGTTCCGATGTCTGGCTCCGCCTTGGCAGCACCCGTCTGACAGGAAAGCTGGCTGGGCCTGCACCCGCTCAGCCTGCTGGCCACCCCTTCCCTCCCCTCCCCCTGCATGGCTGCCCTGGAGCAGGGGCTTGAGGAAAGCCCTGTGGCCCTGCTGGATTCCTCCAGGGAAGAGCCCAGTTCACCTGGTGACCAACACCCCACAGGAAGCAATCAGAGTACCCGTGAGGAGGTGTTGATGCAAGCCAAGGGCAGAGATACTAAGAGCACAGGCCATTCTATTGCAAAGGCCATGGACTGGAAAGTTCCATCGACTTGTCATGTGTAAAGACCAGTCTCTGAAGGTGAGGCATGTGGATTAGGCCGTGAGAGTTATGAACAACTCTCCGGTGCTCCCTCTACTTTGGCCGGTACAATTTGGAGTTTCTACAGGTGCTCAGAATGCCTCAGCCCATCCAACTCACTAGGGCCCAGGCCAGCCCAGTGAGGGAAACAGCAGACCAGGTTCTCTCAGGGAAGGCTTCACTGAGCAGCTCTCGTGTGCTGAGGATGCTGTTCTGCCAGTGTCCACTGTCCTCACCCTTTGCAGGGCCCTGTTCTCCAGGTGGGAGAAGCATAGGGGGAGGGAAGGGAGCAGCAGTCCTTGTCTTCTTCCCTTCTCGGCTGCATCTGTGTCTCTTCGAGAGAGACTTTGGTTTGTTCCCTGGAGAGGGCCCAAAAACTCCCAAATTAGCAAACCTGGCAAGCCCACAGCTCAGAAAATAGTTCATCCTGATTCCATGTTTTTCAGGCTCACAGAAGCCTTTATTAATGAAGTCACAACACCAATATTTACCGTCTGCAGGGAGAGGCACAACATGGGGGATGGATGGGACTGGAGCAGGGACTCCCGCCCCCCTTCGCAGGCCTGGCCTAGGAAGATTGGCAGGTTTCCTTAGGTCCTTTTCCAGCCATTTATTTGGATGACAGGGGGTGCTCTGCTGTGATCTTCCTGGACCCCTACCCTCACCAAATGAAACAGGATCTTGAGAGGAATGGCCCACCCATCCCTCTGTGACCCACTGGGGCCTACACGATGATTCTTCCTCTCACCCTCACCCCACCTGTGTGAACATGTGGGAGAGTCACTGTGTGTTTTAACCTGGACTTATGGGCAGTTAGGACTTTCAGAATGTGAGAGCTGCATTCCTGGTTGGTGGGTGGGGAGGGCGCATTGGGATGGGACAAAGCCCTTTGGTTTCTAGCATTGACTAGACACAAGCAAGGTGGGAAAGAGTAGGCAGAGATGCTAAGAGACCCCTGGGTCTATGTTCCCAGCAGAACCACCTTGTGTGCTAGGCTCCCTGCCTATGGCCCAGGGAACAAGACTGGACCTTTGACATCTTTATGATGTGTTCAGCACTGCTTCATGCAGTGCACTCACCAGCATTCTCTGTGGGAAGAAGAGGATAAGCAAAGGCACAGCACAGGGAAAACCTATGGCTACTCAGGGATGGGGTGAGACTGAAGCGGAGGGCACCAGGAGCAAGGCAGGAAGGCTAAGGGCAGGAAAGAAGAGGGGGCAGAATGAGGGGCTCAGCAAGGGGTAACTCCATTCTATTTATGGAGGGACTCCTTTGAAGTGGGCCTCATCCTTGACATTTGCAGAAGACTCATTACATCCCTACTCCCCTCAAAGGAGCAGACCTGGGCCAAGCTGGTGACAGGAAGAGCCAGGGTGCTATATCAAGGAGATGTGTTGGGAAGCCATTCTAGACTCAGCGGACTAGATAGGAGTGGATGGGATTGGGGAAGAGGAAGAAAGCTTGAGAAGACTCCTGGGTTTCCTCTACCCTGGAAAAGAGTATACATGGCTATTGCTGTTTGCCAAGGTGGCTGATCCTGGAGAAGAATAGGAGGGGAGCTAAGCCAAGCTGTGCACATGTTGGGTGTGAGGTTTGAGGGGCCCAGGTGCAGCAGGCGGCTGGCTTGCTGGGTCTGCAGCACAGCAGAGGTCAGCTAAAGACATAGACCAGGGAGAAAGAGTGGATGTGAACCCCTGGGCAGAGGGCACAATGAGGACAAAGGAAGAGCAAAGACTTGGAGTGCACAGAGGTGTATGAGGCATAGATAAAACTGAGACGAAGTCAGAGAGGCCGGGGGAGACATTTCAGAGGTACTAAAGTGAAGGCAGAGGAGGCCAGGGGAGTCAGGGAGGGATGGTTGTGGATCAGGGAACAGGTGAACACAGATGGGATGTGGCTGAGTTCGGCCACAAGGGGGTGGCCAGTGACTGTGTTTGGTGACTGTCATTAGCATCAGCAGAGTGGTAGCACAGAGACCAAAGAGCAGAGGGTTTGAGAGCATGTGGGAGGGAGGAAATGGAGACAGGTCTGGAATGTCATAAGGGAAAGTCTACGGGGAGGCAGGAGGAAAGAAACCTTAATACGTGACAAGACAAATGGACAAACTGAAGGGCAGGTGAACTAAAGAGCTCAGTGGACCTGACCTCGTAGCTCTTTCCCTGCCTGGGAAGGCCCTGAGTGCCCCGGGACAGGTTGCAGGCTCAGCTTCAAGCCCTTTCTCTAAGCTTTAATCTGCAGGGATTCTCCGAGGATGGATAAGCATCCTGGTGGGGCCAGGACTTAGGGCTGGGACTGTCAGCCTTTGTGGATGGTGTTCCCTTGACTCAGCCCCCAGTACTTCCCTTTCTACTGGTTTCTCCTCAACTGGAGAAGCCCCAGAATCCCTGATCATAGGGAAACTCCATTCCTGATCCCTGTTGAAGCTGGTGGAACCTGATTCCCACCCCTTGATAAGTTTGGGAAGACCTGGGCTTAGCCCTCCTCAAGACATAGGGTTGTCCTTCCCTATGACTAGCCTCAGTTTCTCCTGCTATGGAGCTGGAGCTAGAGACAAGGGTCCACTAACAAAGGAGAGTATTTAATAAATGGCCCTTGTCCCCCCAAGCCCTTCCTCAGGCACCCAAGCCTTGAACACACTTGCTCTCCCAGCCCCCACTGGCCATTAGAGCCGGAATCCACCATCCCAGTTTTCTTGGCTCTGGGGCTGGAGCGGGCTGCCCATGTCATTAAGAGAGACTTTTATTATCCCATAGGAAAGGGAAACACAAGGGGTCACTAAGAACTACAGCAGGTACCTGGAAAATAAATTAAAACAGGGACGCATCAAAACAAAAAGGAGATAAGAGAAACGGAGAGTGGCTGGGAGGCTGCAGTGATGGGCGGCCCACCCAGGCAGGCAAGCTCTCCAAGGAGAAGGCCGAGGGGTCCCAGGCCTCAGCCAGTCCATTTCTTGTCCCTCTGTCATTGGTGGCCCCAGGCTCCAAGCCCTGTGGGGCCGTGATCCAGGCCTCCCTGAAGCCTGGCCAGGGAGTAGCCAGAGTCCAGCTTGGGCCCACCCAGGGGCCTGACCAGCAGCAAGCAGCACTCTGCCCTCATGGGTTGTGGTTGCCCACCCTAGTCATTGGAGGTGACATCGATGTCCTCCCCGTTGGCCTGCTTCGTGGCGATGCGCCACCGGTTGATGTGATGGGAGCCCTTCTTCTTCTGCTCAGACTCGGGCCCTTCCTCCTCCAGCTTCTGCCGTTTGTACTTTGTCCTCCGGTTCTGGAACCACACCTTCACCTGGGCCAGGGAGGGGGCACAGATGAGAAACATTCAGGAAGCCCCCAGAGCAGCCACTGGGCCCTCAACACTCAGGCTGAGCTAAGAGTCAGATAGGGAAACAGGTTACACAGAGTCAGGGTTCCCAGGCCAGAGTTCTCTCCTTTGGCCAGCTGTCACCTGATGGGTCTGGAGGACTGCTGTTCCAGATGCAAATGAAGTGGGACAGAAAGAGGACACAAGAGGTCAGAAGGAAGGGTTTTTTTTTGTTTTGTTTGTTTGTTTTTGAGATAGGGTCTTGCTCTGTCACCTGGACTAGAGCACCATGGCATCATCATAGCTGCAACCTTAAACTTCTGAGCTCAAGCAATCCTCCTGTCCCAGCCTCCCAGGTAGCTGGGACTACAGACATGCACCACTACATCTGGCTAATTATTCTATTTTTAGTAGAGACAAGATCTCACTCTTGCTCAGGCTGGTCTCCAACTCCTAAGTTCAAGTAATCCTCCTGCCTTGGCCTCCCAGAGTGCTAGGATTATAGCATGCTTTTCCATTACGGGGAGCTTTTCCTATCCTTCCCAAACAAAAGGTCATAGAGCTGCTAGGCATGTGTGCTCCTATGGATACAGCAAAGCAAAGGTGAAGGAGCTCAGGCTCCGGAACCCAGCAGACCCAGGCTTTACTAGTTTCTAAAGAAGGGATAATAATCGCTCCTTCACAGGGTTGTTGTGAGCAGTAAATAGAAGAACATAAGACATACTGGATGAGTTCTGATGCTCTCCCAGAGGACCTAAAGGAGACACCAACCTCTCAGCTGGCCCCATCCTCTTTGCCATGCAAAGAGTTAGAGTGGTCCTGGCTTCCTAACTGGGAGGTGTCCACACCAAGAGCAGTGCCTGGGACAGCCAGAGCACTCCTAGGTTCACGGCACCCACTGCTGGAGGCTCTAATCTCATACACTACATATCGGTCTCCTTCCTCATGGGGAATTCCCCTCTGATATCAGAGGTGGAGCTGTGTAGACTGGAGCTGGACAGCTGAGAAGTCTTGGTCTCTTGGGTGGCAGCTCCTCATGACAGTCTAAAATCTACCACAAGGCCTCACTCTCCTTGAACAGACAAGGTCAGGGAGGAGGCAGACAATGTTCAGACAAGGTCAGGGAGGGGCAGCTCTAGACCTTCTGTCCCCACAGCATGGCTCCATCCAGATGTGGGAACAGGTCACACAAGGAATAGCCTGGAGAAACCCCAAGGAACAGAGTGAGCTCCTATTGAACACAGTGACACTCCACCGCCATCTGTGTCTGGCTGTGAGGGCCCTGACAAGATGAGGGGTAGGATTCAAACAGAGATGGGACAATCATCCCCTATGATGAAGGAAGAAGGAAGGGAAGGTCCACAATTGTAAGCCCATCTCCTCCAGGAAGCCTCCCCAGACTTAGTCTCATTTCTAATCATCCTCTCTTCTCTCCCTTCCTCCAGCATTTGCCCAGTATCCAAGACACAGGCCTTAACATCCTCTCATGCATGATCTGGGAGGCTCATCCTGGCTCCCTAACTATCCCTAGTGTTGTGGACTGGAGAAAGCCTTTGTTCATCACCTCCAACTATTACCTGCACCTGACTATGTGGTTCTTTACTTGGCCTTGCAGAGTCAGGCCAGACCCAAACCATCTTCAGAGTTGGCAAGAGGAGCCTGGGCTAATCCTTGACCAAGTCACACATGTGTAGGAGAAATCTTTCTTGGGACCCTTGGAGTTTCTTGGACTTTTGCTCCAGAGGATCCCTGGAGGAAGTGATGCTGAGAGGGCAGGGTTACGAGGCATGGATGTTTTCCTGGAAATGACAGCACATTTAAAAGCAAGCAGGTGCTGCCAACTGCAGCTGTGCAGATGGTGCGTGGCAAGGCTGTGGCTGTGAAATAGTGAAGAGCACTATTGGCAGCAGCAGTGACCCATGGGAAGGGCTGGAGGCAGTCCTTGGAGAGACTGCCCAGTCCAGCTTCTACTCCCAGAGATGAGGGGAAAGCACAGGGCTTTGCCGCAAAACCAAGCAGTGGGAGCCAGAAGCAGGCCTGGCATCTGGGCCCTGTGGGTGGTTTCGTGCCCAGGATGTGCCACCCTCACACACCATTCCCACATATTCCTCTCTGTCCCCTCCATGGAGCCCACCCACCCCAGGGCTCTTCTTCACAGTTCCTCTTTGCCAGGGCTTTTGCCATACCATCTGCCCTGCCCCTTGATTTTAGAGCACTGGAGTGAGATGTGGACAGCCAGTGCTCAGTGCTCACAGAGCAGCCAGTCAGGGACAGGAAAACTGGTCCAGGAAGAGAGGGGATGCCCAGCCTCAATGAGTAGAGAGCAAGGGTAAGGGGCTACTTCCGTCATCTCCAGGTCAGTGTTCAAGTCCATAGCCCATGTCTCACCTCAGGGAGGAGGAAAGATGCTCTGAGTGCAGGGCTCTGGATTACATGGCCACAGGGCTGTCTGGACCCTGGGTGGTTCTCAGCACAACCATTTGGCAGCCAGGCTAGTCCCTGCCCCCAATCCTGGAGCCTGCTGTGACTATGCCAGCCAGTGGGTGGGTGAGCTCACCCTGCCTCCTGTGCATGACTCAGGGCTGGGGCGTTATTCCTGAGGAGCCCAAATGGGCTGGCCAAGGATGATCACCAGGTGACAGTGGCAACACCAGGGACAGAGGGTCCTCTTTCTACTCCTTTCTCCCTCCCACACATGCCTTGCAGGAAGAGACTGACAACACTGGCCTCTAGTAGGGTGGACCTAACAGTCTCCCCTTATCCAACAACATTGACCCAATGAAGGAAAGTTTTCATGGTGGACTTCACAGACAGGATATGTTTTCAGACCAAGAGTAGCCTCCTGGCACACCCAAGTGAAAGGTGAGTCTGAATATTTTCTCCATGAAAAATACTGAGGTCAAGGAGGCAGCTCTCTAGAAACAATGACATAAACCCTCTTTCTCCCTAGACTGCCTGGCTATTTTCCAGAGAACAGCCTTGGGCTCAGTGTCCAGATGCTGTTTACAAAGCTTGTAATAACGGAGATGCATATGACTTCATAATATTAGTGAAAAAGTCAGGATGCACAGTGTTGGCACATTGTGATCACAACCACAGAAAAACAAAATCTATGCATGGGGAAAAAAGACAAGAAGGAAAGTATGGGTGACTTTTCTTTCTTCTACTTTTCTTAATTTTCTTTAATATCTTACTTGTTATCTACTGGTAACAATAGTTATTTTTTACTTGGAAAGAGAAAAGGAACTGGACTCTGAGTATAGCAGGAAGTTAAGAATGGCATCCAATGACCTCCCTAACCTAGCCAGATAACACTGGAGTCATCCCAGAGCCCATTGCCTAGAAAGGAACAGGTCATATGATATGGTTTTGGAGCCAGCTGTCAGAGGCTGTTCCTATTCTGCACATGCCTCCCCACACCTAACACCAACACACTACTCTCTCTAAGCCTCAAAGGCACGGTTGGAATGTTGGCCAGAGGACCCCCTTGCCTAACTCTGACCCCTCTGTGTGGGGAGAGGTTGAGATGAGACCTCTTTTTTCCCAAATTCTTGCCTCACTGAATGTCTCAGTTTCTCAGAGAAGCCAGATCTTTCCAAGACTGCACTCTTCTAAGTTACCCAACCTGGAATACTCTCCTTAGCTTTCAAGACCCTACTGGGTGGTCACAGATGGGGCCTGCCCTATTGCCTGTCTCTTCTTTCTTAGTGCTTTCCTCTGGTCTCAGTATAGTGACCCCAAACGTGCACTAATTTATTTGTTCACATCTGTCTCCTCACCAGACTGTGATACTCTAAAGAACAAAAGTGGTATCTTAGTTGGCTCTGGAATCCCAGTGCCCAGCCCAGGGGACATGTTCCATGTATAGTCATCCAGCGAGGCATTAGTGAATGAAGGCATGCATGTATCTATGCAATAAGGAATGGATAAATGAACTAACAAACAAGCAAACTATAGCTCCAGCCAATATTTCAGAGCTAATCAGACTGTGTTTCTGAATAATGTGCAATTTTGAATGAACGAATTCTGTATTCTTTCTTTTCCACCACTCTTCAACTATAGTCCAGCACAAACAGAAAGGACTTTGGCTCTGGGACCCTGCACACTTTCTAGTAAATATCTATCCTGACCTCAAAGAATTCAAATATCCCTATCAAAGTCTGGTAACTCTGACATGGTAAGTTCTTCCTTATGTCCCACTGTTATCTCTTCTGCCTTAATTTAAGCATATCCTCTTACCATCCTTTGACAAAAAGAAAGTCCTTGGAATAGATAGCAGCTTGGAGATATCAATCAATCACCCCTCAGCCTACTATCCTCCCTGCCCCCTCCTCTAGGGAGCCATTTCCTATGGTTTCATCTAGTGAGCTGTTCCCACTCCCAAGCTCAATGCCATGCTAAGCTCAACCCTCACCTCCAGCTCCCCACCAACTATAGCCCTAACTCTCCCTAAGCCTTCTTGTCTTGTCTCTCAGCCCATCCTGGACACTCACTCTCAGGGAGATATCACAAAATTTGCCTGCCCCTGCCCCAGGACCACATTCCCATCCAAGCTCCTCATAGAACCATTCTAACGCCCCTTATCCCCACTTCACCCACCAGACAGAACGCTAGGAACATCAGAGATACAAATTTCTTAGAGCAAAGCTGAGACTTAGAGAAGAGATGTGTGTGTCCCCAAACACATAGTGAATGAGTAACAAAAATCTCTTGATTTTTCCCTAAAATTCAAGTCATTTTGATATCTCCTCTCATCCATCCAAGGGCAGAACATTCCAGACCAAGAGATCCCTGGAAGGCTCCTTCCCATGCCTATGGGGGAAAAATAAAAAAATCCTATAGGCAGGTGACCTTACATTCTTGCCTCCTGAGACCTCCCTCTCAGGTTCCAAAATGCTGGCTGGCTTTGACAGCTCCTCATCTGTCTTAATGTGTCTACCTCAACCCCTCTCCTTCCTTCCCTCCAACCTAGCATCCTAGGAATCCCTCCAAGCCTTCTGAGTCTGAGATCTCCTGGAAGCCTTCTGCCCAAGCAGATCTCCCTTCATCTCCTTCAGCCCACAGCAGTGACCTCAAGTAGCTTTTCCTGTGCATGTTCTGCAAATGTGTGTGCATGCTTTTCATTTAGCCTGCACCACTAAATGAGGAATCTCCAAAGCCAAGGACCACCTTTCTGTGCTCTTTTCCCTTACAGCTCAGCTACCCTCAAAACCAGGAAAGGTCAAGAAACACCAGCTAATCTGTTCAGAACAAGAGGGGCAGCTGGAAATAGTGATCAATTGATCAGTCTGAAGCAGTCAGATGTTTTCTCTAACTACCCCCTAAAACTTACTACCCCCTTACATCTAATATATACCTTGGTATATAGATCACCTGACCTTTGGGCATTAATCACACTAAACCCATATGTGCTCCACATTGTGGGCACACACATTACATATACCTGCTATACACACTCATCAGACTTGCTTGGATCTGAGCCAGACCCAGGTCTGTCCACCTAGCCACCAGGACTGAGCTTTAGACAGGTGCCTCCCTGGTCATACTTAAAGGCTGGGCCATAGCAGTGAGGAACAAGTAATTAGAAATAGAAGGGAGAACCCAGGGCCCCTCCCTCTACCTCCAAGAGTGACCCACTGGCTATCCCAGCACAAATATCCCATGCTCAGCCCTAGGTCGGCCAAGTAGCTCAGGCTGCCTACCTCCCAGCACCTCATGCTGAAGCCTTTGGAGTATAGACACCCCCAAGCTTACCCACAGATATGCTTAACCCTCCTAGAAGATTTGTACATAAACTGGTGTTTGTATCACCTAAATCAATAATCAGCTGTGAAAGTGAAAGGGAAAGATAGAAGAAAAGGGACAAGGAGAGTACAGTGAAAGTAGAGACCAAGGGGGATGATTGATCATGTTAATATTCCTTTGGGTGGCATCAAGAGAAACCTGCCCATTTGTTCATGTTTATTAAGTATCTACTTCATGCTGGGAACTGAGGTGAATCCTGGGGAGAAATAGACAGGCATAGCCTCTGCTTCCCTGAGCTAAGGTACTCAGGCTTATTATTTGTTAGAATCACCCAGAGAGCTGTTCTTAAAAACATTTTCCTGGGCCCCCTCTTGCACCTCTGGGGAGAATCTCCTGGGAAGGCCTAGGAATCTGTATTTGAAGATCTCCCTGAGAGAAGGGTGCATTTGGTCTATAGATTGACTTTGGGACATAGCAGATAATTACACAAGTAATAACAGCTAAGTCCAAAGTTTACTGTGATAGGTTGGGGATATACTATGAACTCAGAGAGCATGAAGGATGGATTATATAGAAATGAAGGTAGAATATAGATGAGCCACAGAAACTCAGGGCTGGAAAGAAATCTGGGATTCATGCCATTCAACCTCACAGATAAATCACCTGAGGCCCAGAGAGAAGAGAAGACAAAGCCAGAGCCAGTAAGATAATAGAAAACCATTAACAGACATATGAATAAACTATCTGTCAGTTGCTAAATAGCTCAACAGAGGTGGAAGTTTGAGATGAATGGTGGACAAATGAATAGATAAAACACATAGATGATAAAGAGATAATCAACAGATGGGTAAATAGGAGTTATTGTTAAGAAGAAGAACATATACTTAATAGAAAACAGGAAATATAAATTAACCAGTTTTGGGGGAGGCGATTTAACGAGAGCAGACAGAAGTAGATGGCTAGATATAAAACAGCTATCTAAATTTTTTTTTTAAAACAGCTATCTGTGAGGGACAGATTAGAGAGGTCTGAGAGTCAAATCTAGACACTAGCAGTATAAATACATGGCATGGGCCTGGTAAATATGGAGAAGTGGATACTTAGTTAATTATATGAGTCCAAACCACATGAGAAGAACAGAAAGACAAATCTGATGATGGAAACATGGTGTGGCAGGAAGAATGCTGGACTAAGAGGAAACCTGGGTTTGGATCTTATTATATCACTAGCTTGACATATTATTTAAACAAAGGGAAGGTAAGAGGCTGGGTATGGGAACTGATATTATTCGAGAATCATGTTAGGTGCCTCTAATCCTTAAACAATCTATTTTCTGGATGAGGAAACCAGAGCTCAGAAAAGTTGAGTAACTTGCCCAGGTTCACACAGCCAGTAAGCAGGGAAGCAGGAATTTGAAATCACCTTTGCCTGACTAAGAAGCTCTGTCCAGTCTATCTCTCTCCTTGCCTGGAAAGAGAGTCTACCTTCCTCAGGTTCAAACCTCCCATAGTTCTTTTTGCTCTTGTTCCATATGCAAAAGCAGCTTATTTATAGATACAACAAGATTAGCCCTGAGTTTTCATGATTAATGAAATTGGATATATTACAAGATTCTATGTGGTTTTGTATATGTTTGAAACATCTCATAATAAAATGAAAGAAACAATCCATTTACTAACTGGCATTGTTAGTAGCAAATATTGACGGGCAGCTAGATTTGGAAGAAAGTTAATTAAAAATGCTCTCACTGAGCTTAAAAACTGAAAGTTTAAAAACAATGACATTATTTCAACAAGTTTTAATCTGTGGGTGGTGGGATTATAAACCATTTTTGTTTTCTTACACTTCTGCAATTGAAATTTAATAAATATTACTTTTTAAATGAAGTTAATTATAAACATCATTCCTAAATTGACACCTTGTTTTAAACAATAATTTTAAAACAGTTTGCCAGGAGGGAAAGGAGGTGTTATTTTATGAATTTATTTTAATGTATCTTTCTTGAAAACATTTTTAAAATTAATTCCGTTGTTTTGCAAGCTTTTTCTCTGAAGTTATAACAGTCCAACTAGCAAATCTGAAGATGCAGGGGTCCTGCCATGACTGCCATTGATTGTTAAGCGGGGCATCTGACAGATATGACTGCAGTAGATGGCAAAATGGGACAAGCACTTTGAGGTGGGCCACAGGGAACTGGGGATGCAGTTGGGATCTCGATTCCTCCACTGGCTCCCTTCCTACCTTCCCTGATAATGGGAGGCCAGGCCGCCTCACCACCTGGGACTGATGAAGGGATGTTGGTATAGTAGGGGGCGAGGCCTGGAGGAAAGGGTCGGGAAGGTGAGATGTCAGCGGGGAGGGAGCTGTTGGGCGGCCTGAGCCGAGCCGACCTTTTGAAGTAGTAAATCCCGAAGCTGGAAAGGACACAGAGCCCATCCAGACACCGAAATCTGCCTCCAGGGCAGCAGCTGGGCAGAGGGTCTCTCAACCACTCCAACATGCCAGTCCAGACCGGTGGACCAAGAGCTTTAGGGAGAGCTTCCAGGCAGCATTTATTTACAGCATCGTCTTTACCTACAATGAACCCAAATCTGCTGCTCTATAACTTTCATCTAATTCTTTAGTTTCTTCCTTAAATTCATTATCAGTTACAAAAATACTAAATGATAATTATAATTTCAAGTTCAAGCCCCCACACCATCGGAATTTATTGCCTTCCCACTCGACAGCCCTTCCAGTGATTGAGAACAGCCCCTGAGCGCCCAGGGTCCACTTTCCCACCACGCCCAGGCCACTCAGGTGCTCTCCGCGCACGCACCATGATTTTCAGGGCCCTCCCAGCTGACCTGAGGTGGACCTCAAACAGGTACTGGCCACTCTCTGGCTGATAGTCTGAGGACACCTGGGCTTTCTCCCCTCACTACACACGCTGGAGGGGAGCTGAGGCCTCTGCCAGCTTTGCCCAGGGGCAGCTGCGATGCCAGGGCGGGGAAGGCCAGGTCACACCCCAGCACCGTGGCTGGAGGGGGCTACAGTAATCTCGGAACTGAGTCGCTCCAGAGGACACTGGGCTGCCCCTTGCTGCCAGCTCCGCTCCCGAGGCTGCCCGCTCTTTCCAGGCAGGCTGGTCCCCTTCTGAGGGGTTTTGGAAGCCAGACCCTGACCGCACTAGTATTTACTCTGCCTCCTGTTGGTCCTTAGTGTTTGACAAAAGTCCTTGGGCCTCAGTAGACTGAACACCACGGGAGGGAAGGGGTTCTAAAGACCGGCTTTGCGGAGCCCGCGGAGAGTTGGGAACTTCTGGAACCCCCAAAAGAAAGAGAACTCGGGCAGGCTCAGGGCCGCTCCAGCACCCGCCCGCCCTCACCTCCACCAGGGCGCGGGGCGCAGCGGCAGGCGCGGGGCAGGCCGGGCGTGATGATTACCTGCGTCTCCGAGAGGCTAAGGCTGCCGGCCAGCTGCTTCCGCTCGGCGCCCACCACGTAGTGGTTCTTCTCGAAGGCGCGCTCCAGCCGCAGCAGCTGCGAGGGCGAGAAGGCCGTGCGGATCCGCTTGGGCTTGCGCGCGAAGGGGCCGTGCAGAAGCAGCCCGTCCTGGGGCACGTCGCTCGCTGCGGCCCCACCGCCGACGGCAACACACGCAGGTACAGACAGAGAGAAGGGCGCGGTGAGCCGCAGTCTGGCCAAGGTTGGCCTCCCGCCCGGCTCTTGTACACCCTGTCCTTGAACGCTTCTCCACCTTCTTCGTTCCTTCACACACACACACACACACACACACACACACACACACACACACGCACACACCCCACTTCTGCCCTTGCTTTTAACACCCCTTCCCCAGTCCACCCTTTTCCCCAACAACACCTCCCCATAGTCTTAAGAGCTACCCGGCCCAGGAATCACAGCGCTGTAGATCACTGTTGGGCCAAGAGGTGTGTCCTGGCCTGGTGAGAAGCCAGCTGGCCCAAAATCCACACTGCCAGAAGCCTCTGAAGAGACTGAGGGATGGCAAAAGTCCCTTGGCTCTCTTAATCGCCCCTTCCCAGGGAGGAATGTCCCCACCACGGGCCCCAGCAATTTGCTTTTAAGTAACAGGTCAGAAGTATCCCCTCAAAGAGCAACAGAAGTAGAGGCAGATCTGGGGGTCAGGAAGGAGATAAGAGGAGCAGCTGGCTGTTAGGCACAGCCTCACCAAACACAGATTCAGGAACCAGAAAGTACCCAGGGAGAAATCCGTTCACACCTGCTCAAACCAATCTTTCACCAAAATGCTTGAAGTGCTTGGGGTACTAACCTATTGAAAATTTCTGCCAACAGGCCCAGCTCTACCTCACCAGAGGTGAAAATAGGCCAGTGGCTAGGTCAATAGTGCAGGTAGCCCCTTGAGGTCCAAAGTCAGGCTCCATCTTCCCTTTCCCAACCTTCCCAACCTCTAGGGTACCCCCAACACCACCTGCAGGAGAGTCTTAATGCTCTCTATGGTGGGAAAAGGCCCCGCTTCATCCCTAAATAGTCTCGTGCTAAAGAAACATGTGTATAAATATCTAGATGTCATCTTTCTCTCTAATATATATAGATATAGATATATTGGTTTCTGCATGGGCGTGTGTAAATATAAGTTCCAGCCTCCCTACTGTCTTTCCCTCTCATCTACTGTACAGGATTTTCAGAGTGTGATTATCCCTTAGCAAATGATGGCCACCATGGGGACTCAGCTACCACATGCAGGAGGAAGGACTAATACCAGACTGGATGAAGCCGGGATGGGAGGTGACAGTAAGAAACTAGAAAAGCCAAAACAAGCTTCCACCCACTGTCTCAACGAACCCCCCACTAGGCCCTCACACAATCTCTAGCTTTGCTGCACATGCTAATAGATTGGAAACAGGCTCTGACAACATCACCCATGGATTCTCATGCAAGGCTACATAACAGTCCTCCTGACCCAACAACAACACAGCCCTAGATGAAATGTTTTGACAGAATTAGCTGTTGAGATCAACTGATCCAATTAATTTCTTCAGAGATGGCCACTGGTTTGACTCAATTTGACCTGTTGTTTTGCTCTTAAGACAATTATCTGGATAATTCAGTTGAAATCTCCTATCTCTGAAAATATCTATTAGGTGAAGCAAAAGCATATAATTGAGATGTTGTTGCTAAACTTCTCCAGGTAACTGTTCTTGTTCCTCTACTTGTGGAAACTGCTTGACTATACTTTCTCCAAGTCTCTGTACTTTGGACACCTATGCGGGCCAACTTTATTGCTGGAGTTTTCTGAGAAACAGGGTTGCCTAGGATTGAGGGGCTTATGTTTCAGTGGAGACTTAAGGCACTAACCTCCACTCACCTTATCCATTTCAAATGGCTGGATCTGTGATGCCACAAAAGGGTTTAGGATCATATCATAGGGCAATGGAGAAGGGACAGTCTGTCTACTTAGCCATTCAAGGTGGGGGAAGGCCCAAGGCCCTCAGGCCTGACTGTAGGAAAAGAACTTTAACCAGGAGTGGTGGAAGGTATAGGTGTTCAGGGGATGTGGTCCGGCAGAAAGGTGTAAGTGGCAGAGAATTTAGGAGCTGCTGGGGGAGGGGAAGGAGACAAGGAGAACTGAAGTCTCTTGAGTGGGGGCCAGTGTGGTAGGCCAGGGAAAGGGGGGTGGGAAGCAAATGCTTCTTACTGATATTAAAATAAATTGCTTCAAAAGCCAACATCATTATTCTGAGTCTCAGTGAAATCCCAACCATGGTTTCCTCTGGATAAGTGAACCATCCACTTTAGCATTTACCTGGACTATGCTGGACAAAAGTGTGGCTGCAATGTGGAGAGGCCCCATAGGTGTGTGTGAGTGGGATGCAGAGATGTGAAGGCAATGTGTGGCTGAGAAAGCAGAACTGCAGCCTGCCCCAGTGTGTGTGACTTACTGGCTGTTTTGTGATTCTGTGGTATGTGTCAGTCACCTGTGTGCTGGAGTCCTCTGTTTATCTTTATAAACTCAGAGTGGAGAATGAAAGCAACAAGCTTCTGTCCTGACCTACATGCTCCTTTGCCTCAAGTCTGGCTATTTTAGGAGAATGCTAGGTGGCTTGTGGTCTATCCCACTGAGAAACTGGCTCCAGTTCATTGTAAAGTCCTGTTATGGTGGACAGCATGTATCCTATAGTCTGTGTCCAGTGAAAAAACATAGGTGCCTTCTAACCCAATGTTGAAGAAATAGGAGGCTGGAAAATTATTAAAGCTGCTGAGAAGTCATGACAGGTTACTTGATTCTAAAAGTATCAGTACTTTTCCCTATAAGAAAGAGGATGTTTAGTACAAATCTAACCGTCCTGAGAAATGGCTCAATTGCTACATGTCTCTTTAAGAACAAAGGTGGTACCTTAGGTGCCTATGTACTTGAACCTCTCTGACCTTTGGAGAGTGAGCCTGAACCACCCCTGCTATAGCTTTACTTTTCCTTGACTGGACCACAATATCAGAACAAACTTGGGGTTGGGGTGCTGCCTGTTTAGACACAGTAATCCAGGCTGTGAGAAAAGGCTGTCACTTCCAACTAGGACAGGTGGAAAAGTGGAAAAGAACTGGCATATCCTTCTCAGGAGCTAACACTGAACATTCCTCCGCGCCCTTGTCCTTCCCACCGCTCCGATTTTTCTACAGCCTCTCTCAGCAGGCCTCTTCAAAGCAGCGTTTGGGAAATAGCATCAGAGACTCTCAGGAATGAGGCAGCTGGAGGTGGGGGCTAGGGATCCAAAGCAACCCGGGATGGAGCTGCAGTCCCCGCTAGAGAGTCTGCTGCCGGCCAGGGCAACGGCGGGATTACAAGGCGGAGGGGCCTGGGGCTAGGACCCGGAGAAGCAAGGCTGCAGAGATAACCTCAATCCTCCTTCTCCTGCCCGAACAAAGGCGCCCTTTGACGCACCTGACCAGTGTGGTGAGGTGTCCGGGGGAGCTAAGTCTCCACAACCCCCTCCCAGCGTTGCTCTTAGGCCCAGAAAGTTCCTGATCTTCAGAAAATAACACCGAAATAGAACCATCTCCGGGTTTTAGCCAGTTCCTCCTCTTCGGGCTTCGAGAGAGTCCCAGAGCTTCGGGGTTCCGACCATTTCGCATTCGCTTTTCCTCTTCCATAGCCTCGCTTAGTGGAGAAGTCGCTTCCCCGCGCGCCGGGACCGCGCTGCCGACTGGCGCTCCGCACAGAGCGCAGACATGTTCCTTTTCGTTCGTGTAGGGTTTCGTTTCTTGCATTAAAACGGGGCCGAAATGAGCATCGTAGAGACCCGGTTCTCTAGAAAACGCGGCGCGGGAGGGCCCGAGACGGCTCAGCTCCTAGCCCCGAGCCTTGGCCGCGACCGGAGGGCGCAGAGCGGCGGGGCGCGCGTCGGTCTTCCGCGGCAACGGTGGTGGGCCCCAAAGCCACAGCGTCTCAGGGTTCAGAAAGTCCGCCAGCGCCCAACGGATTTCCGGGTCCGAGAATGCGGCCACGCTTGGCTCCATCCGTGCGTCTAGATTCACTTCTTGAGAGAAAAATCCAATCGTTTTGTGCAACTTGACAACATAACTCGCTGGGACTGATGGCTTGGAGAATGGCGGCAATTTTCGAGAGGGTTTTGCGCAGAATTTATCCGGCCTCGCCTGGCCAAGGACGCTTAGAATCCGAGCTGGATCTCTCCCCAGGCGCCTACAGCCCTTTGTGCCCGGAGATGTGAACCATGGCGCGGCGGGCGTGGGGCGTTGGATCCGAAGCCAGCCGAGGCCACCTTCGGACTAGCTGAGCCGCTGGAGGCCAAAGAACTTAGAATAGGCTCTGTCCTCCCCTCTGAGGCCTGTCCTCCACCAGCCTCCAACCCGCTGGCCCCTCCACCGCTCAGGCCCGCGGGCTCAGAAACCGCCACAACTCCAACTTGACCCATGGGCACCAGGTTGTAAGAGTCAGACTGAGGATTGAGCCCACAGACGAAAGGGATAATTGGCTCTATTTTAAATAAAACCTCATTTTATCAGTAAAAATTGATTTTAAGTGACAGGAACCCTTGACTAAGCGACAGACATCGCACGCATTTTTTCCCTTGGATTTGAGCATATCCTGAAATCCCTGGAGAAGACTAGTCTGCTTACAAAAATTCTTGTTCAAGTAATTACATTCTCTGGTTTTGTGGGATCTGTTAGGTCAGTATCTATTGGCCAGGTGGGACTGAGAAAATGGTCTGACAAATCGGGATCCTGGGAAGTGCCATTCTGTGATAGTCAAGCGTCTCTAGCCAAAGCCTCAAAAGACCATTTTTAAAATTATCTAAATAATTTACCAAGCAGCTAACTGACTGTGTGAAAGTAGCTTAGTGTCACATTAGTTCCAGGAGCTGAGGCTCCAGCCATGTTCTTTTCATTTGTTTCACTAAAAGCCGAGTTACCTAGTACTGAGCCGTGAAACTTACAAGGTTGGGGGCTGGTCTACACTAACAAAATAAAACTGGAAGCTAAATCAATTACTGTACAAATCAGGGCCACTCTTCCAACAAACTCCAACAAATTTCAAGGAAGCAAACGAACTCCAATAAATGCAACTCTCTTTTCTTAGGGAAAGTCAGATAATTGATGAGGGAGAGAGAGAGAAAGAGAGAGACAGAGACCAGCGGGGGATCTTCATTAGCAACCTATTGCCGGTGCAGACTAGGGAGCTCGGACTGGCTACCTACGACCTTAAAAGCCCTGTGCCCCCGCCCCCTGTCCGGGTAGACTGTGTCGTTGGTCCCCCAGCAACCGGTTGGGCTCCTGATGGCAGCAAGAAGTGGAGAACGCCAGTTTGCTTATTGCAAACCTTCCCCATCTTGGGTCGGAGAGACACGTGTGATTCGAAGAAGTCGGGCCAAGGTTGCTGAGAAACATCCCAAGACAGCGGAGCACTCTACGCTGAACATTAACTCTCCGGTTCACCCTCCTTCCTACCCCTGCTTCCCACAGAGCTGCGGCACGCAGATGGACTTTCCCCTGCCCGGACACACCAGTAAGGGCTGATCCCTGGGAGATGGTGGTGGACGTGCGATCGAAGCACAGTATCTGGTCTAGGTGGGGCGAAGGGAGAGCAGACGGAGCTGTACTCTCTGAGCGAGTATTAGCTCAGTAGGGAAAGAGACTAAGGCAGGCCGTGGGGAGGGCCAGAAGAGGCCCCCAGGATGCGCCTGGGTTTGGCGTCCAGACAGGCATCGTTTCTACAAAAGCCTGGAGGTCCCAACCTGGCTTCCAGGGAGGGAGACCTATGCTGCAGAGGCACTGCTCTTCCCAGCTTGGGAATCGACCCGTAGCTTTCTCAGCAACAACTTCTGAACAGCCCTGCGCGCCCCCGAGCCTCCCCCGCATCGCCACAGCGCGGGCGCCGGCCGTCCGCCTCGGCGGGCACAGCGTGGGCACTCACCCTGGAAGCGGTGGCCGAAGAAGCGGTTCCGCAGGACCCAGGGGTAGAAGTGGAGAGGGTCCCGGTGCTGGGCGCCGAAGAAAGAGTGCGGGGGCTGCAGTGGGGAGGCGCCCAGCTGGTGCGCCGGGTGCATGGTCAGCGCAGGATGGTTCATGGCTTCGGGGAACACGAGCTCCGGCCCACCGTACAACGAGCGGCCGGCGCCCGCGGCGGCTGCAGCAGGGAAGCCACTCACGAAGGCCGCCTCGGCCGCGCTGGGGTGAGGGTAGTTGAGCGCTGTGGGCCGGAGCGGTTCCTCTGAGGCGGCCGCCGCCAGGGGATGGGAGCCCGCGCCCCCGCCGCCAGTGCCCCCTCCGGTGCCGCCGTCCTTGGCTACCAAGGACTCTATGGTGAAGCCGCGCTTGGCCGCGGGCTGGAACATGGTCGCAGCCGCCGGAGCTGTCTTAGGCAGCCGGGCTCTGGGGAGCGCTCCGCGTCCTGGCGCCGCCGCCGTGCGGGGTGTGCACCCAGCCAGGCACATGCACACACACCCGTACCCCTCACCTCCCCCGCCCGCCCGCTCGCTAGCTCTCGGCCCCCGCGGGCGAGCCAGGCGCGGAGCGGCGAGGGGTGTGTGAGCGAACCAGCGCGGTGTCGGGCCACCGCGCACAGCCAGGCGCGTCGGCTGTTGCGGCGGAGCGAGCAGCTCCCGGCGCCGGCACCAGCGAGGGCTCGGTTCGATGCTGTGTGCTGCCTCTACGGCCGGAGGGCTGAGCCTAGCTCCCACCCTCCAAGTCCCACCGGGACCGACCCCAGCCTCCGGTTCTCCAAGCACTGCCCTACAGGGTCTCGGCTACAAGGCGCTGCGAGGCGCGAGTTAGCGGGCACCTGCCCCGCGCTCGCCCATTGGCCGCCGCTCACCTGCCCCAAGGTGGGGGGCGGGGCGGGGCGGGGCGAGGGACGGCGGGTGGGGATGGAACCCGCAGTCGGAGGCAAAAGCAGGACTGGAACATTTGCCGGGAGATCTAGGCTTCTTGCCCGCCCGCCACTGGCTTCTCCCAACTCTGCCCTTAGCTGGGTCTGGAGGCCGCCGCTGCCCTCTCAGTCTACTTGGGAGCTGAAGAAGGCGTCGGAAGGGCCTGGGGCTCGGGGACAAACTCCAGCTTACCCTCCAAGGTGTGTAACTCAGTTGAACTCTCCCATTTGTCCCAGGATGTTTTTTCTGTTCTTGTAGAACTTGGATTCCAGGATGGGTATTTGGGGTCTAATAGGTTCTACAGAGAACCAGCTCCCTACGCCCCTGGCCTCTGGGCCCCTCTCACTCACCCATCTTTGTCCCCTGGTCCGAGGTCTGATGGTGCGGCCTTGTTCCTGAGCTTTTGCATTTTCTGAATGTCTTGGGGGACAGCTCCGGAAAGGGGATATTTTTTTCCCCACAAGGAGCCAGGAGAGATGCAGCGTGGAAGAAGCCTCTGGACTGGTTACCTCAAGCCCTCAAGGTGCAGTTTAGGACTCCCAAGCAGCTTGGTCGCCCAGCCACCGGGTGGAAGCCGGCTCAGAACAGCAGGCCTCAGCGCAGAGCAACCTTCGTCGCCTTCTCTGGCCATAGGGCTCAAGTGTCTGCAGGCTGGGCCAGCCTAGGCCCTTGAAGACATTGTGCCTTAAATTGGAGCTTGTCAAGTAGACTGGCTGTCGAAACGCAGCGGTAGTCTGACCTCCCTCGACCTTTGCCTTCCACCCACGATCCCAAAGGAGGACAACTCAGCTTAGGCCAGTTTCCATTTCGTGCACTACTTCCCTGGGTGAGAGGGCGGTTGGCAATGAGAACCAGCACTCTGCAAACTTTCCACCCAGACCTTCCAGGCCGCAGGAAATACTGAGCAGAGGCCCAGGAGAGGGCTGGGCAGTGGTGGGGAGGCCGGGACTTGGCCCTGGCCATGGCTCTGGACCTTGCTAGCGAGACCGCAGAGAGTTCCACTTCCTCGACGCTGCCCAAGTCAATCCTAGTGTCTGGAGCGCAGCAGCCTAGGCGCGCAGATCCGGCTGGGCCTCTGGCGCCCAGAATCCAAGAGGTCTGCGCGCCACCTAACTCTGCGGGGACTCCAGGCCAGGTCTTGGCAGTGGCCCGCCTAGGCGCCGGGAGCCTCAGTCCGAGAGAGCGCTCCGGGCGCCCTTGCAGCCACAAAGCCGGTTAAAGTCTATTTTCCACTCCACTGCTCAGAAAAGCCCCCTTGCGCCGACGCCGTTCCGGCCCCCTTGGGTGAGGTGGGGAGGGGATGGCGAGAGGCGCGGAGACTGGGCGACCGCACCCAGCAGTCCTTCACGCCCTGGGAAACCCAGAACCTGGCACCGCGGAGGCGTCCCAGAAACACCTTCGGAACAAATCGTTACAGAATCCTTGGCGAACGCCTAGTCTCTTTCGCTGGCTCTCCGGATCTTTCTGGTTCTCTCTGTGTGATGGGCTCCTTCTCTCTCCCGTTTCCGTCTCAGGCTCTCCATTTGCCCGCTCTTGCCTCCCTGCTCTCCTCTCGACTTTTTCCTCCTTTTATTTCTTCCGCCTCCTCTTTTCCCCACGCTCAATCTTGGAAAGGGGAAGTGCGGCCGAGTTGGGGACAAGGGTGCTAGCAGGCCACATCACTAAGGGGGCGGAAGTGCAGGAGCTGGGCAGAGGCACCGAACGAGGAGATTTTCGTTCCCGATGGAAGTAAATAACAGGGGATTTTCCTTGAGCAAGGTCCCCGCGGGGACGGGTGTTCAGTTGGATAAACATTGCTTGGCCTGCGCTCTGCCTCAGAGCAAGTGCTAGGGGCTAAGAAGATAGAAACAGGAGTGAGTTGAACCGAGCCCCAAGGCCTTGTGCCCCTAGCCAGGAAATGAATCCCTTCCGTCCAGTCGCGGCCCCCTGCCTCCTCCAACCACGGTGAAGCGAGTCAGTAAACACGAACTCGGTCCGCTGGGCAGGTAGAAGAGCTTGAGTCTACCGTGACATTCCTAGATTTGCCCCTCACTGGCCACATCTACGTTCATTCCTATGGCTCTGGTATACATGTCCATATCTAAATCAATAGACCTTTATTATAACACCACCTTCTCTTGTATACCCTTTCGAAGTACTGATACCCACCTGTCTGTCATTAATCCCATTTTAGATGAAGAAACAGACTGTAGAGGATCGATGTCTTGGGTTTGGTTACAGTCTGGGTTGTGCTGGGAGAGCCCAATAGTCCTGACCTGGTCCTGGTTCCACTTCCTTTCCACCCCTACCCGGGATGTCCCTGCCAGCTTCCCCAGAGACATCTACCAGGATGGGATGAGGTGCTGGACTCTGGGGGTAAACCTAAAGCCCCATTTGTGGCCTTCTGGATCTTTTACTACAGCCTTTCAGCTGAATCCAAATTCATAAAGAGATTTGTTCTGTGTGGTTTGGATTCTGCACTGGGGATCTGAAGGGCCACATGTGGCCTTGCGGCCAAAGGTTCCCCACCCCACCCCTCCCTTACTTTTCTGTCTTCCAATGCCCCTTTCTATGGATTTCCTGTCCTGTAATTCCCTGGTTTCCTTCTTTCCCTCCCCTTGTTCTGCATGTCTTTATCCCTAGCCTGATTTCCTCTTATTTCCACTTCCCTTAGGGAAGTGATTTTGAACCGGTGTGCTGCAACACACTGGTGTGCCATGAGAGGAACTTAGGTGTGGCATGAAAAATTTTAAAGATCATTAAATTATTTTCGAAAGAAGTTCAAAGCACAGTAAGTATATATTTTTTTACTCTTTTTAAAATCAACATAATTTAAATGTGCCTTGAAAGTTTAACTATAGGTTCAAGTGTGCCATGAGATTTTTTTTTTAAAGGTTGAAAAACACTGCCTTCATGCCTCTTCTCTCTTGTCGCTTCCCCTGCAGCAGGCTAAGAGAGGAAGTGTCAGCCTTCAGGGGGTCTCTGAGCCAGCCACTGTGTTCTGAATTCAGCATCAGTGCCTCCATCTACACTCTAGTCTCTTCCTGTGCTATCTCCCCTGCCCTCCCAAACTCTCATAGGTCTCCCTCTACCACCATCCCCTACAACTGATTTTATACACAAATACCTCCTCTCTTCACCATCAGCTGCCCACTGTAACCAAAGCCTGTTGCTCCCCACTATGTGCCCACTCTTCCTCCCCTTCTCAAATTGCTGAGCTCTTCCAGAGACAGAAAGCTGATCATGCTGGAGTACCCTACCTTCCACACATCTCCCCTGCCACTTCTCAGAGTTTCCTGCAATCCTATGCCTTGCCTTCTGTAGAATAGCAGCATGCCTTCCAGGCTGATACAGCCTGGCCCACCCAATCTGGCTGTGGCCCCCATCAACGTTTTCTCTCCCCCCTTCATCTCTGAAATACCCTGAGCTCAAATCCTGACTCTTGCATTTATTAGTTGTGAGACCTGATGCCAATTATCCTGCCTTAGCTTACACATCTGTGAAATGGCAACATCTGTGAGGATTAAATGAAGTAACATGTGGTACATAGGACCAATGCCTGACTCCAAAGAAGCACTTGGGAAAAGCCTCTGCCTTTGCTCACCAGGGTAAACTTGGGAATCATCCTCAGAACCTCATTCTCTCTCATCCTCTGCATCCAACCAATCAGTTAAGTACTTCTCTTCCTTTTCCTGTTTTGCTGGCTAGCTTCATTCTTCACAACTGAGATCATCTCTCTGGGAAGCCCCACTACCTCCACTCAGTCATGGCATTCACCTGCATGATGGGTTGTGTGTGTGCCCATCTGTCTCCCTCACTGGGCCATGATGTCCCCTCCCTCCCTCATACCCCTAATATAGCCCAGGCAGTATTTCTCCAACAGTGAAATACTATTTCAGAGAGCTTGCCCCTCTCCTCAACTTCCCAGTCACCTCTCCTTCAGCCGTCCTCTTCCTCTTTCCTCTTCAGCCTGCCTTCATCTTCATCTCCCTCCCTACAAAAAGTCTCTGTTCTCCTGTTTCCCTCAGTTTGTTGACTTTGCTTCTTCAACACTGAACTTCTTGAATGATTTTTAGTCTTTCTCCAACTCTCTCATGTATTCTCCATCCCAGCCTTTGCAACCAAATTTCAACACCCATCACATTAGGAAAATGGCTTGCAAAAGCTCCAAAACTTTAAGTATGATGTTATGACAAGACAAACATGTGCGTATGGACATAACACTAACTACAACCTCATGGAATTATGCTGCAATTGAATGAGTTATTATCCCCACCCAGTGAACTTAGAGCAGTGCTTGGCACAAGGCACTATTATTACTTAGCTATTATTCATAGAGCTGTGCTGTCCAGGACAGAAGCCAGGAGCCACATGTGGTTATTTGGTATTTGAAATGTGAATGGCCGCAATCAAACTGTTCTTTAAATGTAAATACACAACACATTTAGTATTAGGCTTAGTGGTTTTTTTATGTACAAAGGTATTAATATTTTCTATATTGATTACACAAAATAATGGATAGAATAAAATGTACTATTTATTATTTGTACTTATTTCTTTTGAAGTGTAGCTACTAGAACATTTAAAATTACATATGTGTCTCACAGTACATTTCTATTTGACAGCATTGTCATAGAAAGCACAGAAGGGCTGGGGGAAAGGAAAACAGATCTTGTAACTACTTCCCTAAATCAACTATCATGAAATTCTTGCAGTAGCCTTCCAATTCTTTCTATATGTCGCTTCCTTTTTAAAACAATAGGATCATACTGTACATAGTTTTGTAACCTGCTTGTTTATAACTAATCAAAGCATCTTTGTCTCTCATTAAATATTCTGTATTGGTGGGCATACATGCTATTTACAAATTTTTACTGTCTTAAATAAAACTTTGACAAACAACTCCATAGCTGTAGCTTACTACATGTTCATATTTTTCTATATAAATCTCTAGAAGTGTAATTTCTA